CAGATTTATATGAAAATGTGCAGAGATTCTTCAGTAATTCACAGAGAAAGATGCTTAGCACAACTTCCTCCATCTACACCCCCTTTTTTTCTGGCAATGTACAGAATTTGTTTTAGCTGCCTTGAAAGTTGTGACAATTGCAGATTTGCAGCCATGTGCATGATATGTGATGCAAGAGAGGGTTCAAAAGCACTGTGAGATGCACAAAATCGTTTATGATAATATGCATTGCCGCATAAAACAATTTCACATGTCATCTGATAAATTTCAAAGCACATGGACAGAAATTAAATTAATTTTCAGTGCAGCCCAACATATTTCTAGTGGCTACAAATGCTCCGTTTCAGACCCAGCTCAAATAGAGCTCCAAAGGCCATTTTTCTCTGTCCTTAAATACTTTTCGACCAGTGGGTGTCAATCCGTAAACCGCTTGCAAGTGCTTGACATGCAGGATGTACCTGCCTATTAGCATCCTTCATTGATTTTGTGAAGCTTAACCACAGCTTAAATTAAAGCTTTTGTTGACTCTCCAACATTACATATAGAGATAGATAGATGTGCAATATATGACTGTACAAACAACCTGTAACATGCTTACTGTCAGCCAAAGGTCAAATGTCAACAATAGGGACGTAACGATTAAGTAACGATTAACCGCGAGCTGGTTGAAAATCGATTCAAATATGTGACGATTCAAATCAGTTGAGATGCTAAACAAATCGCGATTAATTTAAGTGTAGGAGTTTATATGAATGCATGTCTGAAATGCATTCCTGTGAATTTTCAGCAGCCATTGCTCAATCATTGCTCAGTGAGTATGTTTACATGGACATCAGTAATGTAATTATTTACCTTATTCTGAATCAGACAATTAATTATATGTCATGCTATACGTGCAAACAGACGACGACGGATAAAAATGTGCCTTCTTTCTTGAATCCATGCTCTTTTGTTTACCATCAAATGGTTGACCACGGACGTGTGTGTATCCTGTCGCAAATTGCGGCAAAAAGTCCTACACAACGGTAATAGTGTTAGGTGTGTACATGTCTATACTGCACTTCAATAATGCAACTAAAATAGGAATACTCCACATGTCTTAATTCGATTTGTGTTTACTTCGAGTATGACTTTAGCTGGATTAATGTAATCAAAAATCTCTGTTTAAATGGTAGATTCTATATCAGAGTATTGTCTTAATCGTGTTAATATCAGAATATTGTTGTCCATGTTCTGAGTGTCGTCAGAAATCATTCTAAAATGCTGATTTGATGCTCAGGTAGCCCTTTCTCATCATTATCCGAGTTTAAAAAATAAAAATAAAAAAGTGCTACTTATTATTTGACTTTTTTCTAGATTATCTGATGAATAGAAAGAAATAACAGCATTTATTTGATATAGAAATAACATTCTCAATGCCTTTACTGTCACTTTTGATAAATTAAATGCATCCATGCTGAACAATAATAAATGTAAAATGGATGAAATAAGCATGCAATTAAATATCCAATATTGACCGATACTAGGGATGTGACGAGATCTCGCGAGACCAGTCGTATGTGCCGATATCCTTGCAAAACAATTTGCAGTTTACATTAGAGCTGCACAATTAATTGTTTAAAGATCGCAATCTCGATTCAAACACCCACGCAATCTTATTCCTGAATGACAACAATTCAGCTATGTCTATTACGACATACAAGCACGTTTTGTCGCTGCCCATGTTAATGAATCATTCATGGTGCTGCTGATCCAGAAAGAGCAACACAAACAGTCTTTTCAACCACACATCATTATTTCTGTTACAGACATTTATATAACAGAAGTACTGGGATAAAAGTTTATAGTTTGGGTATAAACACTTATTCTCTTCAGTAGCGATCAAAATGACAGTATCATTCTTAACACTTGTATGTATTGTACCGCTTATACTCTTCCACCAGGAGGTGGCGACAACTGCCTGTTTATAAAAAGTATTTGTCATTGAATCATTCATTCAGGAGATTCATTCCAATTGTGAAACAGGTCTTTATGAATTGAGACACCGACTCATTCATTTAAATCTTTTTTTTCAAATATATTTTTTAAAGACTTAAGCAATTAACATTTTGTCAGAACCACTAGTAAATTGTTATTTTGTTTAGTTTTCTAATCTTTTTTTTTCAGAATCGTGAGAGAATCGAGAATCGTAAATTGGAGAGAATCTCCAATTTATATATAAAAAACATGATTCTCAATTTATCCAGAATCGTGCAGCTCTAGTTTACATATTGTTTATTGCTGTATATAATTCATTAAAATAGAAGTTTAATTTCATAAAGCACAAGTTGATTTCAAAATGCACCTACATTTTTTGCATTTTGTGTTTTTCACTTGAATAAAATACTATTTTTCCCTAAATATTTAATCATTGAGGATTTCTTTAAAAAAGTCTTAAAATCTCGTCTCGTCTCGTTCTCGTGAACCCAGTCTCGTCTTGTCTCGTGGGATAAGTGTCTTGTCACACCCCTAACCGATACTAATAAAATAATTACAATAAACCTCTAATATAGACTAATGACCAATATGGTACTGATATATTGTGCATCCCTAGTTATAATCCATGAAGTGGTCTCCAATGGAGGCTCACAGTGTTCTGCTCACAGTTTTTTCAATCGTGCCACAGATATACTAGTACTGTATATAACATGATGCCACCTGACTTCTACTCTGATTTGGATATGGATCTATGACAGGATGTAAATCACTAGAATTTCTTCATTTCTCACTCTTTTACAACAAAATCAGGCTGCCGTGTGCAATATTTAAAGCCATGCTAAGAATATTGCCGAGAGTTGTAGCCCATCAGCCAGCAGTGGTCAGGGGCACCATCCATTCCACTGTGCCACAGGCACACAGAGATCACACTGATGCAACATACAGTACAGCTTTTCAGAAACACGAACCGTGGGGCTCATAGGTAACAGGCACTTTAGCTTGCTGGTCACAGAGCATTAAACAATCCTCAAAATACAGCTGCCCCTTCCCTAACACGAAGTCCTTCCCACACCTCTGGTGAATAAACAGGAACCAGATTGCCACCCCTCTCTGCAGCTCAAGATGGTATGCATCTAAGCCCAGCGTGATTTTCCACAGGATGTGACTCTGACTTAGAGACAAATGTTTAAAACATTTTTCCAGCTTCATCTCTTTTAAAATCCTTCTTTTTACCCTCCCTCATAACATTGAACAGTGTAATCCTCTAATGAAAAAAAGATCAACGAGCACATAAAACCATAAATATAAATAAGGTATCATGAACTATGAGCTTGGACGTCTGGCTTGCTCATGTTATATAGGTTGATGCACCTTTGCTGACCCCAACAGACCCTCATCATGCCACTATTCCACAAAGAGGTTTATAGAGAGAGATAGAAAGAACAATCGGTGAGAAATAAATTTCATCTGCAGATAATGGGTCTCATTCACTAACTGTGTATACGCACAAACACTACATTTAACTGACCGAAAGCGACAATAAAGGCATTTATAATGTTACAAATGATTTATTTTCCAAATAGGAATAAATGCTGTTCTTTTGAACTTTCTATTTAAAGAATCCTGAAAAAAAATGCATCACAGTTTCCACAAAAATGTTATCTATTTTCAAAATTAGCAATAAAAAGAAATGTTTTTTGATTATCTAATCAGCACATTAGAATAATTTCTGATGGATCATTGACAGTGAAGTCTAAAATAATGGCAGCTAAAAAAAAAAAAATCACAATTACAAATTATTATGATATTAATAATAACTCGCATCCCTATAACTCAAGTCAGAACATCTTCATTAGCAGCACAATTTACAATGATGTCTGACTTGTGCTCAAGCATCAGGAATTACTTGGAAAGATTCTTGAGCTTTTAAACATTTCTCCTTGATCTGAACATATGAAAAATAAAACCAAGGCCAGAATTTTTTGAACAAAGACAGAGAGGAATCCTACATGCATTTCAACATGCCTCGCATTTCAGTTTCTGCTGTTAACTCACCCTCTTTGTTTCAAGAGCTCTAATCATGCTGTGAGTCTAAATATAAGTAACAGTGCGATCAAACGCTGATTTTTAAATGTCATGTTGTATCCATGCAGCTTGACTTCCAGGTAAGCAAAGGGAATAATCAATCTCTAACAATCTCTACAAGAAATAATGAATCAAAGTCAGAATCATTCTAGTGAACTGGTTCGTGCTTGTGGTTTCTGTATAAAAAAAATAAATAAAAAATAACACTGATTCCAACACTTATAACACACTTTTGGAGTTAAAGGAATAGTTCACCCAAAAATGAAAATTTGCTTAAAATTTACAAACCCTCTTGACATCCAATATGTAGATGAATTAGTTTCTTCATAATCCATAATAAGTCCATCCCCTGCTGTCCTCTCACTTCAAAATCTACAAGCATATTTGTTTAGAATGGTTTTGGATGCTATAAATGGTGCTTAACCTGTGCATATTTCTCTCCTGATTGAGACAAGATGACTTTTTCAATCGAGAAAGCAATATTATGGATAGAGGACTCGTATTTTACCCAGAAGTAACAGTTTGAAGTTAAAAATATCACGTGAATTTGTTTATACATACAGGGTTTTTTTTTTTACTTCCCAAAATGTTAATTGATTGACTGGAGTTGTGCGGATTGCTTGTGATGCTTTATCAGCTGTCTGGCACCCATTCATTGCAGAGGATTCATAGCTGAGCAAGTGATCTCAAAATCTATCCCAATGAAGAAACAAACTCATCTACATCTTGGATGGTGTGAGGGGGATGAATTTTCAGTAAACTAAATTCCTTTAAACTATTCCTTTAAATAAAAAAAGCTGCTAGTGACATATAATATTTAGAAGGACTAAATGATTGACAAGATATCAATTAGAACTAATGTAGAATCCATGTGCGTAACATGAGCGTAGGGAATGCCACACTTGAACACTGATAAAAAGCTTTTGTAAAATGATTACCTGGAACAAAGCTCCCCTGAACAACTTCTTTGTAAGCCCACCATCCCTCATGGATTTTAGGTGGATTTGGCTGAGCTGTGAGAAAAGAAGGGGAAAATTGAAGTGATTTAGCATTAATTATAAAAAACCATTTGTATTGAATGACCTTTCACTGTTTTCTCTGTCATTTTCCGTTCAAAAATGATTTCTGGCAAACAGCCCTGCAAGAGAAGCACAAAACAAACAAAACTGGAATTAAAAGCCTCCACATTTGTTCCTCAAACATTAGAATGGAGATGCATTCTGTGTGAACCCAACAAGAGATCCGACTGAACCAGGGCTGTAGTTTATAATTGAAGTGACCAAGTAAGGATCCCACTGCTAAAGGAGGTCACGGCCTGAAATTACAAAGCAAGATTTTAGGATATTGCATTTACACCTAAACTTTCTCATCCGTACTGCTACTGGAAAACATGACTATGGGGCCAGAGGTGGCAAGGCTGCCTTTTAATGGAACTGGAGGAGGGTTAATCCTTCCATCAAGAACTAATGCAGGAGTGGTTCAGTTTCACAAAAAGAGGAGGTGGCTGGAGAGGTGAAAATGCTTCTACCTCTCAGAGGCTCTACTGCAAAAAAATCAAACACCACGGTGAGGCTAACAATTTCACTGAGTACTACTTTATCGGAATATAATGCTGTTGAAACCCTAAATCTGAGGTTGACTACAATGCTAAAACTGCTTGATACCTATGAATGAGGATCACTTCTGGATGTTGACAGACTTTTCAGACTGTATTAACGCTTCTGAATAGTGATTTTGAATTGCTTCTCAAATTTGTATTCCAAAACAGCTAGTGGTATTGGATTTACAGTGACACCTACTGGAGTGAATGCAGCATTATACAAGTAAAATTCTGAAATTTTTACTCATCTTGTATTGCTTTTTTTGGTAAATGAAAAAAAAAATGTGTAAAAGTATATTTAATGTGTATTGCAGACATTGGAGGGATAGTTCACTTAAAAATTAAAAAAAATTCTGTCATCATTTACTTTACCTCAAGCCGTTCCAAAACTGTATGACTTATTCTACTTTCTTCTGCTATATAAAAAAATATGGGTAATCAAACAGTTTGTGGTCCCCACTGACTTATAATTTATTAAGGCTGCATGATTAATCGAAATTAAATCGCAAAGGCGATAAATCGCGATTAGGCAGAAGCTGCGATTGTCATGTGTATCTTTCAGTGAAGCACAGTTCTGTGATCAGCAGTAAATCTCCATCCGAAGGCCAGAGGGCGCTCTCACGCCAAAACTCCAAATACGCCTGCAGAAGAAACCCAGGAAATCCCTATAGCGGTTACTGAATAAACAGAATATTTAACTGCTTTCATTAATTAAACTAATAAACACACGACTACGACAATATATGGTTTATCGGAGTTCGTCTTATTATAATTTTTATTATAATAAAGAATAATAATGCAATAATCTAAAATAGCCTTTATCACAGCTTAGAATACTATGAAATATGTTGCGTGCCTTATTCTGTGTAAGAAGCCACATCATCTCACAGAAGGATTTATTTAAAACACTTGACTGACGTTATGAAGTGAGTTTGATGTAAAAACATGTTTCTAAATGTGGTATTCATAAATCGCGTCGATTATGAACACGATTTTGCGTAGCTTGTCAGTGAACTATGGCTCTGTGTAGTAAATGCTGCTCCATCTGAAAGCTTGTGCTGGAGGCTTTACTGACAAGATGTGCATGACATTCACATTCGATTAATTGTGCAGCCCTACATATTTTTTTCCCCCCATGGTCAGTGATGACCAGCAACTATTTGTTTACCCACATTCTTCAAAATATCTTTGTGTATTCAGCAGAAGAAAGTAACTTATACAGGTTTGGAACAACTTGAGGGTTAGTAAATGATGACAATTTTCATTTTTGGGTGAACTATCCCTTCAAGTAAAGCTTATTTAATAAAATGTTTTTGTTTTATTCAAGCATTTTGCTTTGTTTTGTTTTTTCCCCAAATACACTGACTATAACCTAGTGTTTCATGTATAGTTAAATGATTCCGGTCTTACACCCTGCAAATAGTACATCAATTAATACTGACAAATGTATGGTTATTATGGTAGTAACCGTTTGAACATGTCAAGGCCTACAAAACTGTCAAGACTACAAAACTTTATATCTCATCACCAATTGATGAACATCACAAATCTCTCTCCCTCTCCTTGTCTCAGGTATCCTGTCAGGATCTATCTTCAAGCAGAAGTTAGTATGGAGTGAGAGGCAATAACAATTCATCAGCCATGTTCTCCTGAGGGACAATGGCGTAATAATACAGGAGAGCTTTAGTGGAAGCTCCAGGACAAGCATCAGACACTGCATCAAACCATCTCTCTCCCTCTCAGTGGGGAAAACAAAGCTCCCATCCCTGCAGCTCAAAGCTGCCGTCATTAGCAGGACAGAGACAGGATAGGAAAACATAACGCCAATTGATCATTTCTGAAAGCAAAAGACTCAAGCACTCCAGACTTTATGCAACAAAAGCTTTCCACAGAACATCCAAGTGTAGTGTTTTTATGCCTTTTGTGATTAAAATTAGATTTTTGATGGCTTTCATGTAAGTGTGTATACGGCTGCAAGCTTACAGGGACCAAAGAACAGTTGTGATTGAATGTAATTCATTGCACTCAGATCTTATGTGTGTCCCAGTTCAATGTGCAGGGTTGCATGAAAATGAGACATCACATATTTCATTATGACAGCAGTTTAAGAAAAGCAGCTAAGTTCTATTCCATTTCCCACACAGCTTGGCGATGCCCCAATAACATATTTACTGGCTTCAGCAGAAAGAAATGCTTCAAATCTATAAAGCGAAAATGAAGTAAGAAGTCATTCAGAATAGACATCTAAAGCTGTTAATTTCACAATGTTCTGTCCGAGAGACTTCAAGTAATTGGCGGCGTGCTGGAGGTCCACAGTCAGGATGTTAGTGGTGACATCTGCATCGCTTTGCTTCCTGTCAAAACTAATCAAAGGGGGAGACAACAATTACTAAATAGACAATGGCACACATCTGATGGAAGACGATACATAATCGCCAAATTAAGTCTGAACTGTCTCTAAGGGACGGTATCAACGGTATCCAGCAGGGTTTACACTTTATGCTTTAATAATGGCATTCAAATGATTGGCTTAATTATAACATTCAAATGATTGAATGCTGCTGGCGTTGCCTTTTCAGCATTTTATAAATGGTGCCGCTTCCCAGCCGCCGACTTGCTCATGCATTATTCAAAGTTGGGTAATCAAATGAATAGATGAGGGCGGTTGCAGCACAGAGGTAACAAACCTATTGAATGTCTGCAGAGTTAGTGTCAATAGATCAAAAAGTAATTAACACAAATTTTCTGATCCCTGTTCCCAATGGAGCGACCCCCTTGCTTGGTAAAGGATTTTTAAAGAGGCACTTCACAACAGCTAAACATAAAAGGCACAGAGGCAAATTTGTCTACATTTGTCACTACTAGAGATTAGAGACGTGCATGAGTAATTAGGTAGGCGAGTACTCTTTCTGTACCAACTACTGTAGTTCACTAACACTATTTAAACAGATGGGTTTTTACTTTACACATTTGCCTGCTGTAGGTAGGCCTGGGCGATAAAACGGTATCGATATTTATCGACGGTACACCTTCTTCAATAACGATAGAAAAAAATGTTCGATATAGCGCACGATATAGGCACGTGCTATGAGTGACACACAGCACACACAAACAGGAACACATGCCGAAATTAGTGCTGTGCCTGCCTGTGATGAGGAGATTGTAAATAAAGAATGAATATTAGTCGAATTTAAAATAAACATTTGCAATGTTAGGTGTGCATCAGGGAGCGTCATCAGTGGCGTGCGAGATACGGGGATGATGTAAGTGACGTTAAATGCAATCTGTGTGAATGGTGCTTCGGCTCTTTGGATTGAGCAATGCATAAATACATGATGCTGTTTTGTTCATAATTGTTTATGCAATTTACGAAATTATATTAGATTTTTATGAGTTAATTTAGATGTAATACACGTTTTTTTTATAGAGTTACTTCCTTGCGTTGACAATTTAAATGCACTGCATTATTTTGTTCATTGCGCCCTCCTGTGGCCTCGGGAAACAAGTCAAAAGTTTCCTCAAGACCTATTTAATCTGCATATAAAACATATAAAATTTTTAATTTGTTTAATTTTTATTTTGTGTTTGATTGTTAAAACAAAAAATATTTGTTGTTTGTCTCAATGAATTGGGTTAATTTAAAAATACAGTGGTTAAATAAAAAAAATGTATATTGCTCTGTTTTAAAAAAGGTTATAAAAAATGTCAATATGAAACATTATATCGTTGATAAATTGTTTAGCTATATCGCCCAGCCCAAGCTGTAGGCATCAATGAAATGTACTTTCCCATTGAATCTCTCTCTCTAATCTCACAGCGCTTTCAGGTGCATCCAAAGCTATGTCCACATTAATCTGAATAAATTTGAAAATGCATCTTTTTCTCTACATTTTGGCCTACGTTTGGAGACGGCGTTTTTGTACAGCAAAAACTGAGCTTTTTGAAGGCACTATCCCAAGGGGATACATTTGAAAACGAAGGTATTCGAAAACGATGACACATTTAGTAATGTGACAATATACAGTATATCTATGGTTGTTGCGGCATTGTTGTGCCTGGTATTCACTTAATAATGTTGCTTAAGATAAACGTTACTTTGTACAATCTTCATATTACATTCTGCAAAGATGTCAGAACATTGATCAGAAGACAGTTGCTTTTAAGGCCATACACTGAATGTTTATTTTGAATGTGACCTGGATGCACCAGTGAGTAGTGGAGTATTTTGCTAATAAAATGATAATGTCAGAAGAATAGAGTGAGAATTTTACTCTGTCTGGTCTATCGGTATCATCTCAGTGACCATTTACGACACTGCAAGGTGATTTAAGTGTTTTCAGACATGTCAGTGTGGACGAGTAGGTGGACGAGGAGATGCTTTAAAATGTTACTGTGGACGAAGTGCATTTTAAA